TTCAATCCAACATAAAACAACACTGTTTAAATATGTATTTTGGTCTTGGCAGCTCACTGCCTGTACAATTCTCAGTTTCAAGAGTCAGATAGAGGAATCCTGTCAGTAATGGCAAATTCATCAGAAAATAACTATTTCAGTTGAATGTTATTGCTGGCTTCTAAAGTCAAGTGAACCACAGAAGCAACAGAAAGTGCCAACTGGTTGTCATCATGGAGATGGCACAGTAGCAGTCACAAAGGCTGCATAAAGATTTTACCACTGTGGTAGAAAATGGGAAAATCTGTTAGTTCATGTAGCTGGCAACTTCTTTTATATTCACACCTGCCTATTCACTGAAGGCAGGCAGGAAAAAGTCGAAACCTGCTCAACAAATAAAGTTGGTCATTTGCGCTAAGCAAGATCGGCAGTAATTTTGCAATATTTGGAACTTGACTAATTATTCCAATTTCCCAAATAATGTGCAGTCTATTGCTCAACATGAAATTCTTGAACAAAGTCAGACACAAACAATATTATATTTTAAATATTATTATAACAGTGTGTGTAAAAAACATTTATTTCTATGACATAAAATTCTTTTTATATCAGTTTAACAGGAAATGATCACTTTACAAGCAGCTTCCTATAGCTTTGCCACCTAGTGGTGAATCTTTCTACTCGTTCCAATCGTCCTTTTTTAGTTCTAAAAAGTGTTCATCAGCTAAAGAGATAAATCAAAAAGATGTTTCAGTCAGGTGAAGATAACTTAAAAACTGCAAGCAAGGTGGTGTGTCATCAAGCTGAGGGCCACGTAACTTTTAACTGATGTGGTAAAAAGAAGACAAAGAGGCCTTCATGAGGAGAGCAGGGGTGTCTGGGCTGATCAGAATGATGAACGTCTGAGTGTCAGCACCTGCAAAATGGAAACAAAGTGTTCTGGAACACAGCAGACTAGTTTTATGAACTGCACAGGCCTTTGATGTATCACACAATATCAGGTTGAGAAGAGTTGAACTGTGCTGACGGTACAGATGGAGCGTTTCCGATGAAAAAAAAATAAAAATAACAGATTATCAACCTGCAGCAAAACAATTTCAGACTTAACATTTTCCTGTGTACATCTGGTGATAGAAAAATGTAGTTCTTGCTCAAACATGTAAAGCTGAGGCTATTTTAACAAATGTATAGTACTGTGCAAAGGTTTCAGGCCGGTTTGAAAAATGCTGTAAACAAGGAATGATTTTTTTATCCTTTTTTTTTTTATCAATTTCCAAAATGCAAAGTAAGTGACCCAAAACATCGAGCTAAAGTCTGTCTTAGTATAAAGAAGAACACGTTTTCCCAGACGTGATGGTCTGGCACTATAACTGAGGCGCCACCCATTAGCATGTATTAAATGTTCAAATAACGAGCCAGACTAAACGAGGTGGCTGTGTCTCAGTGGGAGGAGTCACCTGACATGTAGGAAGTTGTTAGTTCTATCCAGGCTTTCCCACCACATGTTGACGTGCCCTTAGGCAAGACACTGAACCCAATATATCTCACTGATCTGCAAACTGTGGAAGTGTGTGTGTGTGTGTGTGTGTGTGTGTGTGTGTGTGTGTGTGTGTGTGTGTGTGTGTGTGTGTGTGTGTGTGTGTGTGTGTGTGTGTGTGTGTGTGTGTGTGTGTGTGTGTGTGTGTGTGTGTGTGTGTTGGCAATGTAAAGTCAGAAAATCTAGAAAAGCACTTTATAAATACAGTCCATATAATTTTGATGCTTTCAAATCACTGTTTTCATGTACTTCATATCTGAATTACCGTGTTTTGAACTGAAGATGCTTTCAGAGATATTTTCCCATGTAAAGCATCCATTCCCAGTCTGGTATACACTTGGGTTCAAAAGTTTAAATTTAAACAACCAAGATTGTTTTTATTGTTTGTTACAAAATGTACTTCATTAAACTATTTCTAATTTTTATTCCAATAATAAGCCTTTCACCATAATTTCTAGAGACCAAACACATCACACACCTTAAAGAATGTTGTATATAGAAAATAGAGAGATGACTCCTCTTGTAAAGGTCCTGTGGCACACTAAATGAAGACAGCTTGCTGACCATCAGAGGGCAGAAGAAAGAGGATTTAATGGACTTTAATCATAGACTGACTGTAATTGCCAGACATGCCAGTCTGGGTATTTCAGAAACTGTTCATCTACATCACCTGCAACCATCTCTTGGGATTCCAGAAAACAGCTAAAAAAAAGGGTTCAGGTTGCAGCTGGGGATGTAATGGTGACCATGGCCTGCTTTGGACCCTGTTGTACCACCTGAGCCTGATATAAACCCCACAGCCTTCCTGAGTATTGTAGCTGACCATGTACATCTTCTGATCACATGGACCCATCTTCTGATGCTACTTCCAGCAGGATAAAGCACCATGTCACAAAGCTCAGATCATCTCTAACTGGTTTCTAGAACATGACCATGAGTCCACTGGACACCAACGACCTCCACAGTCACCAGATCTCAGTCCAGTCCAGAATCTTTGGGATGTGGTGTAACAGGAGATTCTCATCATGGATGTACCTGTGTGATGCTGTCATGCTAATATGGAACAGAACATCTTAGGAGGGTTTCCAACATCTTACGTCTATGAAATAAAAACAAAAGTAAGCATTTCTGTGGGTGAAATGAGGTCCAACCCAATCCTAGCATGGTGTACCTGATAAAGATGCTGGTGTGTAAGTATTATAAAGATCATTCCCCTAATTTCCTTCAATGACTACATATTTCATCAGCAGGTGGGACAAAATGCTGATTTAAACTCAAACCAAAACCTGCTGCAACGAAGAACTGTATAAAATAACAACTGAAGACGATTTTTTTTCATTCAAGCACATTCAAGGAAATGATTCAGAACGCATTAAAGGCACACTTGGCAGTTTTGCTTCCCTTTAGCACCCCCTAGGGTCCGTTATTAATTCTCTGCATTTGTCTTTTTAACACCTTAATCTAACAGCAGAAATGTCTCCCCACACCGCCTTCATTGGTTTCTATAAGAGTGATTTGTCACTGAATGAAACAAATCAGCTGTGTTCTTAATCCAAAACATGCAGGAAAAGTGCTGGAAGCAGACTGCAGCGCCAGGCATGTCGGCTTAATTTTGTTCTAAGTCCAACAGGTAGCGGCCCGCCAGTCTGAAGTTGCAAATGTGGTATTCTGGCCACAGAGTGCAGTGGGGGACTGAGTGGCCTTTCATTAACTCTGTAAAGGGTCATTTTAGCACATACTGGCACAAGAAAACAAAGTATGGAATTAAAAAACACTTCTAACATGCAAATTATATGCAATACCCTCATATTCATAGTATTTGTCTTACATTCACAACTGATTTATTGATCAGTCTATAGCATTGGCCATATTTTATGTACATCACTAATCAGTCAGTTGCTCTAGATTTCATTTGAATTAGGAATAGGTGATGCCAAACATGTTAGCTGGTTAGCCTCAGTGAGCAGGGCAGCACATCATGTGTTCCAGCCAACAGGCCTGCAGCAGTGTTCACATCCTCATTCTTTCTCCTCATTTGTCTTCTTTGATCATGATTTTCCAGAAAACGACAAACAGCATGTTGCATGTTCTATTTTCACAGAACCTGCCTTGAGTTCTGCATCAGATGAGTTTAAACATTGAGTGGCAGCTTGGATCACAGAGGGGTTTTACTGTTTTACCTGGTTTCTTCTTTGTTAGTGTGTATAGCTCTGCAAACCCAACAAAGAGCTTGTAAAGTAGTCAATGATGACAGCAGCAGAAAAAAAACAATAACATTTATTGATTCATACATTATACATTTCATGATATATTAGCGATATACTATCATTGGCAAAGATACTATAATCCAATAGCATTTTTATACATAAATACAAAATCTGAGGTAGAGCCTCAAAGATTGATGATGAAAATAAATAAATGTGTTTCACATTTATGATATATTTATATATATATTCTATTTTTTACACATCACACACTTTTGAAAACATAGTTTTATAATATATCTACTCTGAATTTTGAAATCAAATGAATGTCATGGGCGACTGGAGGCACATATCTATATCCATAGGCAGCAGTGCCTCACACAGAACACACAGAAATATGACATTACTCAAGTAATTAGAAATTGAACCTATGCACCCATAGGTCACGTAATAAAGTGCCAAAAGGACACAACAGACAACATTACTGGTACCATATGAGACAGACAGCTATGCTGCGGTGTTATTTTTGAATAACATATAATATTCTACCATCAGAGAACATCTATAAGGCCAATGGTTACCTGAAAATGTTTCGTAACGTATTGGCTAACATCAAAGAACACTACATTATATGAATGGCAGTATTTCAACTTCCTATGCAGATGAAACATTCCTTTTTGTTTATTAGATTTTTTTGTTTTTACTACAACTCTAGATAAATTTCCACTTTCTTTGGTTACATTTACTGCCCAAAGTTGACTTGCAGGCTACAGGTTCTGATTTATTTTTTCATTAAACTGACAACATCATCCCTCTGTTTCTTAACTTTATGTAGAACAAAATGTTCCCTAAAGTAAGCATGCACCACCTTATACTATGGAGAGAAAAAAGATTACACATGGACATTGAGTTATAGCAACACAAACTGCACATGCAAGCTCTTTCTTTGAGAAATTTTATAAAGCAGTGTAGTTTTAACTAAACTCTACTTTTTTTCCCCCTCTTTCCTTTTCCCAAGCCGGAGGATTGGATTCCTTGTGCAATGGGAAACACGGCAGCACGAAGGGGATCAATAATCATAGTTACACCCCCGAATAAATGAAATCTTTAATGATTCAGGGCATAAAGCTTCCCATCGTTCAACTTGCTACAATGGACTAAATGCCCAATACATCCATTATTTGCTTTATACTGCACACATTTCCTGCTCTGATTTTATATATATATATATATATATATATATATATATATATATATATATATATATATATATATATATATATATACATACACATATGTATGTATATAAATATATAGAGCATTTCTCTCATTTCCAGTTAGTTCTCAAAGATCCTCTCATTACTGAGAGCTGTGTGAAGCCGAGGCGTTCCAGGAACTGTATGTAAATTCTCCTCGCTTCTTTTCTTTCAGATCTACTGCGACCAGCCATGCAAACGTCTGATTGACAGTTAAAGTGAAGTTTGATCAAACTTATACAGAGACAAACATATGCACACGAGCATAAGCAGACATACATTTTCATCACAAATAGAGCTAAATGCACGACATCTTCAAAGTAACAAAGAGCAGCGAGCAAGCTATTTAACATCAGTTATATTTGTGCTCATTAACTGATTTTGTTTTGTTTTCAACGTCTTTAATTGTATCTGTGCTATTTTCATGTCAAGGTCATGAAAAGACATGGCTTAGAGAAATAGGAAGAGAGCCTTTGTTGCTGTTATTGCATCCTCTTTAAAAAAAACACACACTGCAGTTTAGTGCCTGCAGTGTTGAAAGCATAGTTGAGCCAATCAGGAGTTTGTGAAAGCACAAAAACACACATCACATTGGTCCAAGTGTGCAAAGAACTAATTGCTCCAAAGTGGGGAGGTGATGTTTCTGTTAACGGGTTGGTCTGAATCACCCGCTGAGCTGCATTAGTGAAACAACTACAAATGACTTTTAGACCACCCGGCAAAAGGAGAGCAGCACCTCGGTAATGCTGATGATGGCAGAGCAGCGTGTCTTTAAACAGGTGCTAAATTACAGCAGTACAGAGGGAGTGAGGGCCGCTGAAAGCTTTCTACTTTCTGTTCATGAAAAATGAGCTGCAGGAGAAAATGGCATCTCCTGTGTGTTACAGCACTTTTACATGTTCTGCTTCTACATTTGATTCCTGTGTTGTTTTCTTTTTGCAGAACAAACATGATAACACCTGATTTAGCACTGCACACAGCTGGCCAGTGGCAAGCGGTCCGTGTGTCCTCCAGTGGTCCTCTGGGAAAATCGTTTGGACTCAAACGCATTTTAGCATCGTGTTCGGTGAAATCAAACACAAGGGTGGCTCAACTTTTCTTTAGAACTGAATTTTCCTGCAATTACCGCGGTAGTCTGAAAGAGTATACCTGAGACCGTTTCCACGAGGACACACAGAGAAGCATGAGGGTCTGAAATGACGAGGGAGTCCAGAGCTCTACCGCAAACAACAAGAGACAGCGCACCTCTCCTGGAAGGAAACGAGGCCATTTTCTGGTCTAAATCTTCATCTGCTCACACATAGAAGCTCCTCCTACTGATGCGAGGACAAGACGACACGCAACTAGAAGACATTAGGGTCTAAGTGTACTTTGTACAAAACATAACAGCTTAGCAAGAGAAACGTGAAAAGACATTTACTCACACACACACACACACACACACATACACACACACACACACACACACACACACACACATGCACAATATGTCTTGCTAGCTCTGTCCTCAGCTGGAAGCTCTTTATAAATACATGTATTTATAAATATCTGACTATGTGTAATAGTTTTATATTCATATATGATTTATGACTTTACTGATGTGATGTACAATGCAAAATATTTTCACAAATGGCCTGACAAAGTCACAACACATCCAGTAATAAATAGACATCTAAAGAATATCCACACAGAGTGACCATGAGGCCTGATGTGAGACCTGAAAGGGTTAAACGGCCACGTTTTCACCCACTAAAAAGTTGGATTGACTATTCTACGAGCTCCCTGTGCTAGAAAGGTGCTTGCTTTATATTCTTGGATAGTAATACAGGAGTTTATTAAGAAGACAAAGAAGGTATCACATATGTTCTCTGGAGTAGAGAGAAAAGTTCATCCAAGCTTCTATCACGCTGCTTAAAGGCCAAAGTGGACAGAGTCAAAGTGGTAAACAGGATGCATTCGCTACTCTACTGGGACCGGAGGCACAATTTTCAAACTCATAGTCTATTTCTGACTAAGCAAAGGCGACTGAGCAGTAGTTGACATGACTATAAATATATTCTGCTAGATAGGAACTAAACATGTGCTTACGTAGTTTTCTTTTTCTTTTCTCAGAAGCTGTTGAGTTTATTTTTACGACTGATTAAATTTTGTACACTGAGAGAACCAGAATCAGATCCCAACCAAACTGCATATGTATATATTTTGATTGATAATGTATTTTTGATTTTCTGTGTCTGCTTACGCCAACACGATTCCTTATCTCTACACACAAATGTAATGCCAGACACACACACACTAACAAACAACTCCATGGGGAGCAGCTATGTCGAGTCTAATATTGCAAGTGCAGTCTGAGCTGTGTCATTTTATGACACAATTTTTCTCTTGGAATGAGTTCCCTGGGAGGGGGGAGCGGAGTAATCAGTGATCATGTGTAATGATAGCCCGTTAACCGAGTGCAGAGTAGCAGCGAGGGGGCAGGCTCCACTCGGGGCAGCCACTCCTCCCTGACAGAAGACGGGAGAGAGTGAAGGAGGATGAGGAAAGCCTGCTTCCAGTTCCACTGTAGAGAGAAGAAACAGAAAAAAGGATGAAACAGAAAAAAGAGAGGGAAGAGGTGGAGGAATAGACAACCAGGAAGCAGGCATCCACCTTGCTCTGAGAATGGGTGGAAGGTGATCAGTGCTGGGACGGCTGCTACTGGTAAGAACCCAGCTGGAAATCCTTCGGTGGCAGTTTGAGACCCAGGGAGTTGGTTCCTAATGGGTCGATCATGTTCTTGTAGCGGTTCCCACGGTGCTTCATCAGGAAGGGACCCCAGTCAGGCTGAGGGGAGCAGACCAACTTCAGACGCTGAAACACAAAAACAAAGATGGTTGGATAGATGTTGGGAGGAGACTCTGGCTGTTTTTATCCTCTCATTATCTGTGATGTTCCCTCTTCACTGGTCTCAGTGGGTTGGTTATCCATCACTTTTAACCCAATTATAGGAGCTGCTTCATTTCAACATAAAAGCAGCAGCGGTGTCCCCTGGTGGGGGCCCTAGGGGGTAGTGCTCCTTTGAAATACTGTGACTTTGTCGTTATATTTAGTGACATTTCAAACCCCTCAAGTCACTCTTTTGGACAAAAGAGTAACATTTTCTGGTGTTATTGGAGATTTTCATGTGAAGACTTGGCAGCCATCCCAAAGCATTCACATACAGCCCAGTCTTCCTGCTGCAGTCAGAGCAGAAGATGGCAAGCCCTGCATGAAGCTGCATCTGTCTGATCCCTCCAGGAAAATGAACTAAACTAAAAAATGAATAGATGAACAAGTGTTATAAAATATCTCCATCAGAGTGTTTTTGGGGTAATTTTTTATCATTCCCAAAGATAAAGGAAGGGGTGTGGAATTGGCGCCTTAACAACCACTAGACTCAAGAATCAACAGAAAAAAGTAAATTTGTTCTAAAACCATAATGTAGGGTGTTTTACTCCATTTTTGTCTCTAGATGGCCAATTGGGAGATCACATCAGACAGAAACCTTAAGTAACTTTTAGGACGGCTATAACAACTTTCCATAATAAGGAGATGACATCACTGCTTCAACATGCTGTACTGTTTGAAAAAGTCTAACATTAAATGTATGTATGTATGTATGTATGCATGTATGCACATACATATGTACATACATATCATATATATATATATATATATATATATATATATATATATATATATATATATATATATATATATATATATATATATATATATATATGTATATATGTCGGAATAGAACTTGAGAACCCAAATGCACCAATGAGAAAAGAAGCTAAGGTGCAATCAAAATTATTTTTAACTGATGCATGTATTTTACAGGTGAAGGTTAAAAGAACAGGAAGAGTGTGCAACTGATGGAAAAGGGAAATAAAAGCACTAAGGAACTTTATATCAAATGGTTCCTGATTTGCTGACTGATTCTTAGATAACAAAAATCTTTCAGAAAACAATCAGTAGTTGAGGCTGCAGACAGCGATACGGAGGAAACAAAGACATTTGGACCAAAAGCATCAGCCTCATCATCCATTAATCAAAGTGTTTAAAAGAGACTCAGAAGACTTTCAGAAATATGTTCAATTAATCCTCAGCCTACAGCTTGCCTCTCCGTGCTAATGAGAGAAGGATGAGACTATTGATTTCCCACACCGTGTGTGTGTGTGTGTGTGTGTGTGTGTGTGTGTGTGCGTGCGTGCGTGCGTGCGTGCGTGTGCGTGTCTGTGTGTGTGTGTGTGTGTGTGTGTGTGTGTGTCTGTCTGTCTGTCTGTCTGTCTGTCTGTCTGTCTGTCTGTGTGAAAAAATATATATACGTGACAATGTCTCGCCACAGCTTTGTGTCATTACCTCGATGAGGGTGCCGGGGGCCAGGTACATCTTAATCACAAACATGATGGGGATCCAAATAACTGAGCAAATAACCATGAGCCAGCCCATGACCATGGACCAGGTGGGATAGGTGTAGTCCTCATAGGTCATCACCTTCCACTGGTACAGACTGAGTCCCAGGATGCCCTGCACACAGAAGGTACTTTCAGTACACAACAGAATTATTTTCAGTAGTTTTCAGCAGCTTTTTAAGTCTTGAATAAACAATGTTCTTTGTCAACATCTGAGTTATATGAATTCATCAAACACTGCAGAGCGTAAAGTTGTGTAACCTCAGATAAACACTTGAAATATTTCACAATTTTGTTATTTATTCAACAACTACAATACATGTATTCCTTCACAGGAAGGTAAATGTCAGCCTAGTGTGGGTTATCTGATCATCAGCAGGTGTGAGTATCTCACTCAACTGATTTCACACAATGCCGAAGAGGAAAGACCACACTTAAACCGGCTGCAACCTTCATCCATTAAAGCTGAATCAATGGTTTTCAGACCGTTTAGCTTCTAAAACGGTAATTGACAAACTTGTGATACTAAGGGCTTCTTGGCAAAGTTAAGAAAAACACACAAAATAAACCGATTAAACAGGAACATAGTGCAAAACAAGCTCCACTATTATTCTCATATTTTAAATCAATAATGGCTACTGAATTCATCTGTTACAACCGTTTTGGCAAAAACTGCTTCTTTGAAAAACTCGTCACCTTCATTACAGTTTAAGCACCTAGGGTGAGGTTCTGGATTTAAAAAGATTGGAAAAGTGTTTCTGTGGACTAGCTGTAAGCACATCACTCCTGTAGAAATTTTTCTGCAAACCGAGGCCATTTGGGAAGCAATGCACCACACGCGACAGCGTAACTACATATTTTACACGTGAACACACCTGAAAAGGGGAGAGAAGTTCCTTTGACTTGAAGCTTTAAGCTAAACAGCATCTCACCACTGTTTATTATCCATCAAAAAGTCCCACATGACCAAAAGCCAAAGTCTAATTAGATGATTTCTTCTGAGATATTTAATTTCTTAACAGTCCATTTCTTAAACTTTAGGTGCAAAATGTAGAATTTGACTTCAACTTATTTTAAATTTTCTGCATGAGCGTAATGAAAAACATGTTTCCTTGTGTTGTAAACAAAAGAATAGATGACAGTTGTAGTTTGTAAGGAAACTGGGTGGAATAAGGACACTGGTTTGACCTGAAAGGATGAAATTATGAAAAAGAGAAGGCTAACAGAAATGGATCTGCCTCCTGCTAAGAATCGATGAGCTGATCCCCCACAGAGAAGCTCGATGTCCAGCTGGTCCAACCCAGCTCCATTTCCCTGAAAACAGTCAATGTCGCATGGACTGTCCAGACCTTGTTTGTAGGACGTCCAAACTAGGTCTTTGCATGGTCTGCATCACATCGTCTACAGCACCGGCTTCAAATACAAACTATGATCCTGGCCGGTGTCCAGCTCTGGGTAAAACCTTTGTATTGTAATATTTATGTCTTCTGCTGCTCTGCACAGACAAATCTGTGTCAGATTACAGAAAACGTGTTTATTAGAGGCAGAGGCATTAGATGGGCTTCAAACTAATAAACAATTTGGAAATTGGTTGCAGGACACCCGATATTAAACATAGCAGTAGCTTGTTTTTCATATTCCAGATGCAGATTAAAGAAGTTGACAACAAGAACTCTCTTTTAAAAAACACATTCATACATCTATAATCAACAGTGTGTGTGTGTGTGTGTGTGTGTGTGTGTGTGTGTGTGTGTGTGTGTGTGTGTGTGTGTGTGTGTGTGTGTGTGTGTGTGTGTGTGTGTGTGTGTGTGTGTGTGTGTGTGTGTGTGTGTGTGTGTGTGTGTGTGTGTAAGGGAATGAGAAGAGCAAAAACAAACACCGTCAAAATTGTTGGAGTCACAAAGGCCCAGCACAGTCTCCAGAATCGGTTTGGCTGAAAACCAATCATCATTTCGATGTCCTCACAAAACCTCTGCAGACCTGAGAGGAGGAAGGAAAAGGGAAGAGAAATAAAATCAAAGAAGAAAAATGAGAGGAAGACAGAAAATAGAGACGCAGAGAGTGACCTGGGTTTAATAAGATTCCTAGAAAAAAGATCAGCAAATTTCATCCATCTGTGTGTGTGTGTGTGTGTGTGTGTGTGTGTGTGTGCGTGCGTGCGTGCGTGCGTGCGTGCGTGCGTGCACGCGTGTGTGTGTGTGAGGCGTGCGTGCATGTGTGTGTGCATGCATGCATGTGGGTATGCGTACGTGCATGTGTGTGTGTGTATGTGGGTTTATGCATGCGCGTGTGTGTGTGTATGTGGGTTTATGCATGTGTGTGTGTGTGTGTGTGTGTGTGTGTGTGTGTGTGTGTGTGTGTGTGTGTGTGTGTGTGTGTGTGTGTGTGTGTGTGTGTGTGTGTGCTTGTGAAGAGTTTCTGGAAAAGTGTAAGGGAGCAGATGGCTTCAATCCTCTGCTGTTATTGATGAGTAACAGTGAGTGGCATGAAGAAGCAGAGTCACACAATCATTTCAATAAGTCACCTGTACTGATGCCGGGACAGGCTGGAGAAAGGCTGCATGCCGACACACACCTGAGCCCTGGACTGGTGTACGTTTGACTTGTGTGTTACAACAGCGGCCCCTGGTGGTTAAGTAGGGCATACTTGTGCTGCAGTCAATTGGTTAAGATACTAAAATCCATCTGTGAAGATTTTAGTGTCATTTCTAACCTCTGTTACTTTGATTTCAACACTTTCAGTTTTGATGTGAGCTTTGAGATCATAAAATAATCCCCAGAGATTTTATTTAGCATAAATCAATATTGTCTAATAAACAGCGACACATAAAAAAAAGTGCTCTATTTTATTCAGTACAAAAAATAATTTGAATCTGTACATTTTCAGTGAATGCACTGACTTCAGAAAGGTTACAATAAAATAAAAAACATAGAATGTGTGTCATTTTCGAGAGATAGATCAATACTGTTACTGTTCAAACAGATGACCTCATAACACGTCACAACAGGGCCGGACACCAGGTGTCCTAAAATAACTCAAATGCCCTATTTTATAGGTTCATGTACATGCTATTTAATAACGTCTATGTTTGTTCATCTCTAGCTTCTTTTCATGTTAGTGTTTCTCTCATTCATGGATATTTCTGAGCTCCATTCTTTTTCTTTTTTTTTTACTTTGTTCTGATTTTTATTTATTATCATTCTTTTTTTAAATCACCCAGTAATTATCATTTGGAAAGGCGCTATAAAAAAGTTTCTTCTTCCTATTCCTTTTATAAATTTTACATTTTAACATGAAAATAATTCATGTGAAAGTTGCAGGAACATCCAGCCAGAAGTGCTACAGTAGCGCCACAAGTCAGTTTAACAATAACTAAGCACAGCCTCTGAAACCGTCTATCAGGGGTGCCCAATCCTGGTCCTGGAGGGCCGGTATCCAGCAGGTTTTAGTTTTAACTAGGGATGCACCGATCAGGTTTTTTGCTGCCGATCACCGATACCGATATCAAAGAATGCTGATCACTGATACCGATCACGTGGATTGGCCAGATATTTTCTACAACATTATAATGAGTGGTACAAACTACATAATCTGGGGATAAAGGAAATGTAACCTAATCTAAAATGGTCGATCGGTCTGCTTTGATCTATTTTGAAAACTCTGATCAAAACCGATAGGGGCGCTATCGGCCGATTGGGATCAAATGCCGATCCATCGGTGCATCCCTAGTTTTAACTCTGCTTCAACACACCTGATTTCAATCAACAGGTGATTAGCAGGCTTCTGCAGAGCTCGGTGAGCTGCTGCACAGGTGATTCAACCAGTGAATCAAGTGTGTTGGAGCAGAGAAACCACTAAAATGTGCTTGATACCAGCCCTCCAGGACCAGGATTGGGCACCCTTGGTCTAGGTACTTCTTCATGCTCTGCAATAGACATCTGTTTGTGAGCAGGTGTCTAATGCTATTGGCTAATGCTGAGTGGCGCTCAAATCAAAACGCATCCCACGATGTAAACCTTACTTACGTATATCTGGATACAACAACCCCTACATTAGAGGCTCCCAGTGGTTTTTGAGCCACCAGGCTTGCCGCTGAAGCCTTGAGATCACACAACGTCGTACTCACCGTAGAGGTAGGAGATGCCAACCAACTCAAAGATAGCGATGATGACCAAAGAATATGAGGCTGCGTATGTGTCCACCAGCTGCAGCATGTACATCCCACTCTAGAACACAAACAAAGCACGCGTTAACCAGAACCGAGACCAGTACCGTTTCTAATCACTATCTCTCTTCTGTTTAGATTTCCAGATGAATAGAGAACATTTTCATTTAAAGACAGGATTTCATTTTTTCTTGAAAACTGAATATTGATCCATTCAGTGAGCGTGCTTACTAGCCTTTGTTTTACATGCAGACTGGCTGGTTTTGTTTGTGTACCTCTGTTATCATGGGAAAGCCCAGGATGAAGAAGGCGATGCAGCAGACCAGAGTGAAGATGGGTTTGTGTTTCCTCAGGTATTTGGGGAACTCATCTGACACAGATGTTACGATGGTCTCAATGGTGGCAAACTGGGTGGGAGAGGAGCGGGAGGAAGAAGGAAGAAATACAAAGAGACGGGAGAGAAATTAGAAGAGCACACATCATTGCTGATCATGTTGGCTGTTTCACGCTAACGCTGAACTAACAGCCTGCAAGGTTACATCATTTCAATCCGAGCAGCTGCTGCTGTCAACAATTCAGCAGCCAGTGTTGTGGAACACTGATCTCTGGTTTGTCCACCAAAAACTTGCAGTAATTTAATTTGCAGTAGTTTTAGTTTTTCTGGGCAGAGAGAACAGAAAGAAAAGAGAAATGCATTTTAAATGGAAGAGACGTGATGGGGGGAGCCAGAAAATGGAGGACAGAACCTCGATGAGAACAGATGAATAAATAAATAAACAGGCACATTTAGAGGGGCTGGTGTCATGTCGGCATATGCGTGAGAACAGAGCAGAAATGCTCCAACGCCGAGCTAAATCTGCCACTTCCCGATTCGTCTCCTGCCTCCTGAGCTCCCAAAACTAATTTCCTGTCAACATCCCAAGCCTATTACTGCCGAGTTGCTTCCTACAACAAAGCCTCCGGCTCTCTCCTCTGAGCTGCTGCTGCCAAGGCTAGAGAACATCATCATTTAGTCTTACTGTTGACTTGTGTCTTAATGCGCCGCTGCGCCCTCTGCTCCTCAGCTCAGCCCGGGTGCACTAACAGCCATCGCTGCATTATGTGGGATTGTTTATTCAGGATCATAACGGGAGCTGCTCGGGACTTTAACTATGTACACAAGAACAAATGTTTACTAATTGAAGCTAAATCAGATGAACTGGTGTGGTAATGGACACCATAAATCCAGGTGTACAAAAAAAAAAAAAAAAAACACCACCATTTTAGAAGGATTTGCTGCCTCCTTTGTGTCTACAGACACACCACCATCATGGTACAGAGAAAACAGCAAAAGATCCTGATAACAGATATAACAGCGATGTGAACTTTGAACTCTCATAATTAATATTTAACTTGTACTTGTCACCAGATGTGTAGTTTATTGTACAAGCCTGGATTTGCAGGGATGCTGGAGTTTTATGAGATGTGGGCCATTTGGTTTTATTTAAAAACCAAAGTTTAAACAAAATATCTAAATGTCAACACCATGGACTTGTATATGATGCCTGATTAAAATAAATGAAGGAAACAAGAATCGGACTGTTTGGTCATTAACTCAAATACAAATTTGCTTTTATTTTATTTTTTAACTAAATTAAGAAAAGCTAGACTTACTTAACAAAATGTACTGAAACATTTTAAAAGAAGATGTGAAATGTATAAGAAAATAATGCAGAAGCAGCAGTTTGACATGTTTGGATAAATGCTGTTACGCGGCTACGTGTCCACTCATCTTCAGCCTGTTATAGTCAATCCTATTTTAGAAAAACTAAAGGACATTCTCTTTTAAACTAAGTGACATTTTATGATGGTTAGATTCGCTTTATTGTCGTCCCCAAACTTTCTGATGAACTTGGTTCCACTGATCGCTCCGCCTCCGTCTGTTCAGCTGCCTGCAGAGCTGCAGCTCTTCAGCAGACAGCCCCAGCAGGTAGCTGAATGGGTAATTACGTTAATTGGGTCAATGACTGCAGTGTTTACACATCACTTCATGTTGCCACCAAAAGTTGAGTGTTTACTTTAGAGAAAATAAAATCATCCATGTGTCTGACAAAGATTTTAAGTTTGAAATTGAGCGTCAGAGCAGAAACGCTCCAGCTGAAAACAGAATTAATGTTTCTTACAGTAAAGTAAATGGTGACACTTTTGTTCTTCAATGACTATAGCGGTAGAATTGTGAAGTGAAATATTTTGTTGTTAAAAATCAAACATTTTATCTTTTTTTTCACCCACTAACTTGTCGTGTTGCTGCAAAGTTCAAAGGGCAACATGTGAATGTTGCTAGTTGCACGTTTTTGTTGTTTCCTGGAATAACTAATCATTTCTCTTTATAAAGAAAAGAAAGGAAGAAATTGGGAATTAAATGATTTCATTTGAGTAGTTGCCTTCTTGACAGGATCTTCCCCCATTTGGCCAAAAGAATAATAATTCTGGAAATCAGATCCTGAGGAGAAGGCTGAAATGACTCTCAGGCCCAATACCAATACTTGCACTGTGCCCTACAGTCTTCTGTGAAGTGCACTTGGAGGAAGTGCGCTGTTAGGCTTCGAGTGTGTGGTACACAAATGTGCAAATAATTGTTGACTTAGGACAGGGAGCGTTGCGTTATCGACCGCAACGCGTGCCGGGATGCTGGTCGCTGTGCTACTTAAAAAAAACTTTATTAACTACTTTCAAACAAACAACTATTTGAAAAATAAACATTAATTGCTGCTTTGTCTAAAACATTCATAGCATCGATTAGTCGTTTTAAAAGTAACTATTTACATTTGAAAATACATATTTTCAGAAAAAGAACTTGAGCCTTTTCCCCTGCAGCATGGATTGTGGGAGGAAATACCATTTGTCCAAGTCGGCATGGATGTGGACTTAGCTGAAGTAAGGATCAAGGGGGCAAAGGGGACGTGATCAACTTCTGCACATGAGAATCGGGACACCCAACACAGGTGGGCCTTAGTGGTTCAAAACACCAACAGCGGGGGTGGGGTCGGGGATACGATGCACTCAGAACACTGTTCTCCCAAATCTCTTAAATCTGCTTTCCATATTTAAAATATTCCAGTCTGTTGTGTTGGTTTTTATGTGTTTTTTATTCATTTCAAACACAGGTGAACTACAAGTGCAAAGAAATAACAGAGAAAAAGCAACAGTTACCATGGTGTCAAGTCCCAGAGTGAGGAGCATGAGGAAGAAGATGATTGCCCAGAAAGGAGACAGAGGAAGTCTGGTCAGAGCCTCTGGATACACTACAAATGCTATTCCTGGACCTGGAACACACACACACACACACACACACACACACACACACACACACACACACACACACAGTTATATACAAATGAAATACTTCTGTTGTACTTGTTTTTTATTTGTTTGGCAGATGCTTTTATCCAAAGCGATATGCAATAGTGGGGGAAACCGGAGTACCCGGAGAAAACCCACACATGCATGGGAGAGCATGCAACTCCACACAGAAAGGCCGCAGCCGGGTTTTGAACCTGCAACCTTCTTGCTGCGAGGCAACAGTGCTAAAAACCGCGCCACCATGCAGCCCACTTGTGATTGTAACCACCCAGGCATTCCTGTAATACTCTAAATGGCTCTTGATCAGCTCTTCAGTCTTTCCGAAGGTCTTTGTTTAGATGTGTTTGTAAGAGAAGCTTTGATCGTTTACTGTAAGAAATGTTTTCAGCTGATAATGATTTCAGTGTATATTTCATCAAGTCAGCCAAAGATTTAATTCTCACAGTTTTTTGAATAAGTTCTCAAGATCCACCTTTAATTTTTGTTAAGTTGGCTCTTTAGGAGCTTTTTTGTGTCTGAATGCATCAGTCAGAGTCCAGTTGCTCTTGCAAAAACCTTCTGTTGAAGTGATCAGGCACAATCACAACCACTGTAACACATCACAAAAAGGTCTGGCTGCTTGGAAGCAAAAACAAGGATACGACTGAAGACATTCACATTGTCTCAAGAGCAGCATGGGTTTATCTTACCCTCATCTGCCACCTTCTCTATGGGCACCTTCAACTCCTGAGCCATGAAACCAATGACCGAGAAGATGACAAACCCAGCAAATATACTGGTAGCACTGTTTGTGCAAGTCACTATGATGGTATCCCTGCAGGGAGAAAAAGCAAAGAGGGGGTGAGAGAGTGTACGTGAGCAAAGAGAGTCTGTGCTAATGAGACATTAATGCATAACATAGTTAATGCTTTCCTGGCTAAATGGCTCAATAGTGTCCCCTGGTGGGAAGATTAGAAAATTGTTCTTTTGTGTGCAGTATTTATTTATTAAGTAGCAGATAAATATAAAAAAGTGAATACATTCCAATAAGAAATATTGAGAGTAGCTACAAGCCTCTGAAATGTGATGTTCCATTTAGCACAGAGGGAAACCTCCAACTACATTCATACATTTGAAAAATGTAGATGAAAGAAACTGAAGTATGGCTGCAAAAGATTACATTTATTTCAGACATGTCTACCAGACATACAGATACAGCATCAAGCATCTGTGGTGACAGGTTAAATATGTCTGACAAAAGCATAGTTTACCTTTTAAGTGTTTACCTGTAGCAGTTATTGTGGAACTTGTTGTAGGAGGAGAGCGTGATGAGACCTCCCCATGCAGCAGAGAGCGAGAAAAAAATCTGTGTGGCTGCATCTTTCCACACCTGAGGGAGAGGAAGAGACGGGTAAAAGAGGAGCGGTGAGAGAGCATAAACAAAACAGACTTACATTTTTCTTTATGAGTATCACAAGTAGCATTACGTACCTTTGCATCATTAAGTTTCTCCCATTTTGGGGTGATGAAGTAAAGGATGCCATCAGCAGCACCAGGGAGGGTTACTCCCCTGATCAGAAGGATCACCAGAACCACATAAGGGAACGTGGCTGTAAAATAAACCACCTGAGAAAAGAAATGAACAGAAAGATGTGAGTCAGGAAAAAAAATCATGTGTGGTAAATGAAAAACAGCTAAAATAACCAGATAAACAAAGACTCTTGATTCAGTTTGTTCTTATTTTTGTGTTTCAGCTTTAGGAAGAAAGTAGGCTTGTGGCACTTCTAAACTCTTACAATAATTTGGAACACATATAATCTGTGAACTTTGACCTGACCAGTTTAAGAAATCTAGAATGACCTTTTTCCAAGAAGAAATAAAATGTTTAATTTACTTAAGTTATGTCACAAGTGTGCTTAAAGAGCAAGTCACCCCCAAATCAACTTTTTTTTCTGATAAACTATATAAATGAGTGTCTAATCGTGCTGCAGAAACCTGTAGTCAGGAGTTTTGCACTTTAGTGCATCTTAGTTAAAATTTTGCTATTCTGCCTAAAACTGTCAGTGTTGTGCCGTCTTCAGGTAAAAACTCTGCACTACATTTGAATTGAAATCTGCCATCGCTATTGGCTAAGAGGCACACTATGGCCCAATCTTAATACTCGCGCTTGCACCCTTGTGCCCTTCATTTGCACGTTCCTGGCCAGGGGTGTGAGTGCGTACGGTGTCCCGATTCTCAAGTGTGGAAATTGACCACGCCCCCATTGCACTCTCAATCTGCACTTCACCCAAGTCTGCAGCGATGCGGACCTCGGGCAAGGGTATTACCCACAAGTCATTGCTGCGGGAGAAAAGGCTCAAGTTCCTTTTCTGAAAATATGTATTTTCTAATGAAATTAGTTCGTTTTAGGATGATTATTTGATGCTCTGAATGTTTTAGACAAAGCAGCAATGAAGTTAAATTTATTTCAAATAATTGCTTTTTTGTTTGTTTGAAACTTGTTAATAAAGGTTTTTGAAAAAAGTTTCACTGCAACCAGCATCCCGGCATGCGTTGCGATCGATGACGCAATGCTCCCCGTCTCAATTCCGCAACTATTTGCACATTTGTGTACTACGCACTTTAACCCTACAGCGCACTTTCTCCAAGTGCACTTTGCTGAAGACCACAGGGCGCAGTGCGAGTATTGAGATTGGGCCTATGACGTTAGCTGGTATATTATGATGTCACAGTGTGTGTGTGTGTGTGTGTGTGTGTGTGTGTGTGTGTGTGTGTGTGTGTGTGTGTGTGTGTGTGTGTGTGTGTGTGTGTGTGTGTGTTAGCGGTTCCGTCCTCTCTGTCTGCCAGGCAGACTCAGGCAGGAAGTGGGAGCTGAATAAGACTCTGGTAGGGGGTGACTTGCTCTTTAAATGTTAAATAAATTCACCATTCCATGTCTTAGAGTGTATGGTGAAGGCAGCCATTTCTCTGGATCAAGAGAAAGGTGGACCATGTGTTCTTGCTCCTAATGTTGAATCGGTGTTTGTGAGAAGCTGATTTTTTTAGTTCCAGTGTTCTGAGATATTTTCGCATTATTTTTTCAGGTTATCACTTTTACATTTGCTGTAAACAGATGATTTCTAATCTAGATGACGATTCATCTCTTTCCTTTTGGGATTTAGTATTGTACAATGTTAATTTCATCCAATTATAAAAGTTTTTGTCATTTTTATTCATTTTGCTTGTTTGATGTAAAGCAAAAAATGATTCTCTGAAACAGACTTTAATCCACCATAGATGTTTTGTTCTTCTGATGTATATGCTGTAATAAATACATCAAAACGTAGAAAAAATAAAATAAAATAAAGAAGTTGAATAACTTTCAATATATGCATGGATACTATGTCACTTGGGGTTTTCAAACTTGAATATTTGAGTCGAGAAACAATTTTGTGGATGTTTGAAATGGGTTGGGACACCAGTTTCACTGCGGGTCCTTAAGGGTTAAAATAAACAAGAAAGTGTTTATTGTAATACATGTATATGATTTGCTAAGCATAAAAATATAGGCACCCCACTCCGGTTGTTCTGGCTGTGTTGTATGTTTACATCCACTAGAGGGCAACGCACTTCAAGAATTTTATTTTGTAATGTTTCATGTTACTGCTGTTTATCTGACTGAAGTTTTTTCAGGTGGCAAAATAACCTTTTAATGGCCACATCAAGAAAAAGCATTGAACATCCCAAATCACAGAACATTTAGAGAAACAATAACAATCATTGGAAACTTTTTATTCAAACAGTGTAGTTTCCAGATGTTTTTTTGTTTGTTTCTTTGTTTGCTTTACTCAAAGGTTGTTGTTTGTTTGTTCATCAGTAGCATTCAGTTTAATAAAATGTTTGGAAGAAGAGGTGCTCTACCACAACGGCTCCCAGTCCTTTAGCGCAGTGGTTCCTAATCTGGGGGTCCCGACCCCCACAAGGGGGCGCCAAAGCCTCTCAGTGGGTCGCCAGGACCTATCCACTTTAAGGGGTTAAAACTTGATTTATTACTTGTTTATAGCCTACATTTTGCTCACATTTTTTTTCATGAGTGAAAAGTTTACCGATATTAAGACAGGAAGTAATTAGTACAGAAAAAGTAATACTTTTAAGAACATTTTGCTCAGCTCACTGTTTTATTTTCAAGTGTCAAAAGTTCATTAAAGATAGGACTGGTTGATTAATCACAGCCTTTACAGTAAATAATCCAGTATTAACAGTAATACACACATTTAAGCACATTTTGCTCAGTGTATTTTTTATGTGTCAAACGTTTATTGAAAGGAATGATTGATTTATCCGTGTTTACAAGAAACAATGTGTTCAGAAAAGTAATACAAACTGTCAAGCACATTATGCTCTGTTTGGTTTTGTTAATGACTTTGTTCTGTACTGGAGCCTACTATTACTGTTATCTATGGAATCAAAGCATATTAAAATGTGCTTGAACAATTTTATCATTTCTTAATACTGTTTACGGGAAGAGAGAATGGGAGGGGGTCGTCAAAAATTTTACTGGTAAAAAACGGGGTCCCTTGGGAAAAAGGTTGGGAACCACTGCTTTAGCGCATCGGGGTAGGATCCAGTATTTTATTTTGAAAAATAACTAAATATATTTATACTCAAGTGTAATAATATAGAAATAAGGTTTATAATAATTAATCAAAGTGTGATTTAATTTTTAAAAATTCTTTAAATTACTATAGATTATTGTCATTTACTAGAGCTGTCACTACTTTTAACTGCACTGTAGTTTTTAGCCAAAGCCTTTGCTGCTAAACACAGAGATCGTTAGCTGTCTTTTGTCTTGTTACCTTTCCTGATGACTTGATTCCTTTGGCTAAGGAAGCATAAACAATGAGCCAGGCCAAGAACAGACAACCTGCTAGAGGCCAGCGGAGGTCTCCTGGGTATTCAATCCCTTTGGAAATGTGTAACACATTGTACCTGCAGGTGTGAGGTGAGAAGTTAAACTCAGCAACGAAAAGGTCACACAGCGTACTATATGTATTAAATCTGGGTGCAGACTACATCTGTATTATTTGAAGCAAATTTCATATTCATATATTGTTCATGAAAAAATATATATTCATCCAAATACTTTGTAATACTTCAAACATAAATGGTTGATGATACATCTAAAAAATTATTTGTTTCTTTTTTAGAACATTATTTGCAAAATAAACATTTTCTATGCGAAGGATAACTAATGGATATTTTAAACCCATAAATAGATATGTAGTCATGTAGAGTTCACTGGTTAAATGGAATGAATGGGATCAACTGATGATGGACCTTTCAGACTCACTTGAAGTATTCCTCACTCGGGCTGACGTAGGTCTTGTTGCCATCCACGGTCATGTTCAACAGCTTAGTCAGGTTTCCCACAGCGTTTGCAGACAGGCAGAAAGAGGAATTCTTGATGGCAATGGGGTTTCTGTCCCGCAGTATGCACGAGTCTGTTCCAATCAGAGACCAACACATATGAACGAGAGACTGGCAGAAGGACAACAATTTCCTGTTCGCTCAGGTTTTGCATAGAGTAGAACAGATGGGTGGGATTTATTTAAAAAAAAAAGGGGGGGGGGCAGCAGCGAAACATTTAAGGCACCTTACTTATAGTGCAATGATGCACAGATGGACGTTGAGAGGTAAACACTGTTTTTATGTTTTCTATTCTGCCTTTAAATTGATGCTATTTTCAATCCCTGCAACAAGTCCATGACTGGAAATGACTTATTACGCTGCACACACTCAACAAAACATTTTCTGTAAAAAAAAAAAAATTAGGTTGACTAACTCTTGCAGAAAAATCATATTTATATTATCATACAAAAAATCACTTTACAGATGTTTTGCATGTTTATTTTTCAGATCTATAGGGCATTACGCATAATTCACTTTAACTTGTGTACAGAAACTGTTCATAAAACTAAACAGAAAAACGTTGTTATTGAACTTGGTGTTCACGTTGCAGCCAGCAGGGGTCAGTGTGGGGCACACTGCGGCACTGCAGCAGCTCGTCTGTACAGTAAATTTGTCAAGCAAGCAGTTTTTGTGCTGATTTCACACAAACGCTGAAGGCGAATTTTTCCCCAAATGAACGAATTTAGATATTTTTTTCGACGCATGATGACGTGAAACGATCCTGTTTAGATTTGATGATTTGATTAAAGAAAATCGCATTGAAATGTTTTATTATTATTATTTTTAAACCCCCCTGCAGAGCGCTTCGGCTGATCCCTGCAGATTTAAATTATAACAAACAGATTTTAAGAGACATTAAAACTCAAAAAAATGATCAGATTTTTAAACAGAAAGCTGTGAACTTGGAGCTGCATCTTGTGGCGAGGGAGGCCGAAGGAGTCGGTGTGATTACCGGCCTGAGTCATTAAATTAATTCCTCAGATAAATGATCTGCTCTGATGGAGAAACACTGCAGAGATCGCAGGTCAGGATTCATTTTACTGCAGGACACAGCTGAGGGAGTCATGACGCATTGCGCATTGTGGGGAGTGGGGGGTTTTGGTGTGCGTGTGTGTAAGTGCGTGAAGAGGTGTGAGCCTTACCTAACAGAAGCATGTCTTTGTCCTTACATTCCACCGTGTTCCACTCATTCCTACAGTTAGCCCATGGCAGTGAGCCCTTCAACGAAGCGAACAGGTAGTACAGTGTCCAGCACATAATAATATTATAGTATATGGCTATCAAGACAGATATTATCAACATGGCAATCCCGCAACCTAAAATAAATAAATGAGACGAAATATATAAATTACTCCTAATGGAAGTGGAGAAGTTGTGATCATGAAAAAAATGCTTTATTTTTATAAGATGCAGGGTTGCTGTAGTTGTGTGTGCGTACCTTGCAAGGCCGGAATGCATTTCCAAACGGACACGGGGCCCTGGCTGGCGAACTGGCCCAGGGAAACCTCCAGCAGAAAGATTGGGATCCCTGCGATTCCCAACATGGTCAGATAAGGAATCAGAAAAGCACCTGGAGGGAAGGAAGCACACAGCAGGCTGAAGAGCGTGCGCCAAGTGCCCGGATGTCTTCAAAAAACTCATTTAACAAAAACAAAATTAGGATAGATCATTTAATGATTAAAATGATCATGTATCAGATTGATTTTTTTGTTTGCTTGACAAACTATATAATGTTGCCGTGATTTTTGTATTAAAACATAATTGTTATAATACTATTTGACATAAAATCTGTTTATTATGTTTATTTTCTTAAGTGAAAGAAAATCAATGCTCAAACTTTTTGTGCAGTTTTTACGTGAAGGCCTTCAAGCATATTGCAGACTGAAATAATACATTTAAACATTTAAAGAGGCAAATAAATAAATAAAGTTCTAACTTCAGTTCAAGTAAATGCTTTTATCTCTCTCCTTTTTTAATTTTAAATCAAATCTTACCTCCCCCGTTTTGGAAGGCAAGATAAGGGAACCTCCACACGTTTCCAAGTCCCACCGCGTAGCCAACCATGGACAGAATAAAATCCAGTTTATTGGACCAGTTTCCTCTGGCCTTATTCTCATCTCCCCCATCATCCTCATCGTCCTCCTGAGAGGAAATATTTATACATTCAACCCCAGAAAGGAAAGCGAGAGAGAAAATACAAGTTCAGAAGTAACTTCTGGAATTCTGGTTCAAAAGCCTGGACTTGGAGCATTTGGATTTTTGTAGGAATTTTCAAATTTGATTGGATTTCTCATGAATATATGTAACAATCACATCTAAAATTTCTAAAACGCACTATAATAAATATAAAACGCATTAATTATGTCCTAAACGATGTATTACAATTATATTATTTGGTCATAAGTTAATTATTGTGGGGTTTTTTTTTTCAATCAGGTGCACATTAATCTTTGTTTTATTTTAATTTTCATCCATTGAAAAGTTGCTTTTAAGAATGTTCAGAATAAGAATTAGTTACTGAATCAATAATAAATGCTGCCACGATGCTCCACTCACTCTACAGGTTTACTATTGCAATGAGACATAAATATCTAGGAACAGACTTTAAAACCTCTGAAACCCTAACAATAAAAATAAGTCATTATACAAAAACAGCAACGACTGGATGGTAAATATAGATCATAGCTGATATTTATATTAGTTACAACAATGCTGCGCAAGAGACTGTGTGTATGCGTGCGCGTGACTGTGTGATGGGGGATGTCCTCGCGCAGATCCGAAACAATCCGCAGCCTCGTGCCTATCAGGCGGGAAACACCTGGGGCATACAAGGAGCGGGGAAGACAGAGAATACCGCGAGATTTTGACTCTATCTAAAAATGGAATCAGTTCGCTCTGACTTTTGTTCTTCGGACAAGATGCATCGATTAAACATCGGTGATTTTTAGCTGACGTAAGCCGGATTTAAAGTTTGGGCGCAGCAGACATCAGATGATGCAGAGAAGCTGCGCAGTAATCAGTTCATCTGCACCACATGATTATCCCAACGCAAGATTTTACGTTTGTATTGGACCTTGATCATTACGAAAGCTAATATTCTGCAAGTGGTTCCAGTTGACTGAAGACTGGACTCATAATAATCCCTGACCAGTTCAACCCTGGAATTATAAATTATTTATCTTATCGTGGCGCAGATAATCAAGTCAAACGAATTCAGTGATTGAATTTGAACTAAAGACAAAACGACACGTCTCAAAAACCATATTTTAAGAAACACGTAAAGCTCCACATATTCTGAATCAAAGGACCTGCTCCGCGTCCATCACCGCACCTGCCTCCAGCCGCGCTCCATTAGGCTCACTTACCCCCGCCACCGTTCCAGGCTGAACAGACGTGTTCCCATCTGTTCCCAGTATGATGGTGGTTTGACTCATGGTCGTCCAGTTGCTCGTGGTGTTGTTTTGCTCCGCGGTGGCCCGGAGCGGGTCGCTGTTCAGGGCGGACCCCCCTCGGGCCGAACCCACGGATTCCTTCCTTAAGGCTGAGCTGACTGCTGCTGATCCAGGAACGGGCGGGGCGGTGCTTTTAAACGTCCCATACTCTTTATTGGTGTCCGGTTCTCCCGGTTTATTTTCCGTGGGACAAAAAGTTTTGCTCTCGTTGCAGGGAGGCGGCTGAGGCGCCGGGTGGTGGTGAGGGGCGGGCGGTGGGCACGCAACCGTGTTGTCCGGTTTGTTTGACAAAAGTCCGGATCCTTCTTGCTGCAGGTGCTGCACCGGGATGTAGCCGGTGGTCGGTTGCTTGGCCATGTCTCTGTACTCAGTAGAATCCTGGAACGTGAAAGTGACAGATCAGCTAGCGGAAAGGCGACGGAACGGTGCTGCCGCTCATCTCCGTCCTGGGACTAAACACCACGCAGCTCACTTTCTGTTGATTTTCTGCCTTTGCTTTTTAGTTCAGTGTTAACTCAGCGTCCACTGGAGGGTGTGTGTTGCTGAATGGATGCAGAGAATATCGGTGTGCTTGTGTGTGCATGTGGATGGGGAGGAGGAGGGGTTGCTTTGCTTCTCCATTTCTCGCTTTCTGCAAGATTCTTTAATTTTACGCCCCATTTCACCCTCATGTCATTCAGCCACACACATCCACCAATTTTATGGGCAATAGACAAGCTGCTGCCGGTCGCACGAAGCTTTGCTCTCCCTGCAGGCAAAGCGAGCTCACCGGCGTTACAGCAGTGAGCGGACCCGGGGCGGCAGATTTCAAAACGACTCTCTTTTTTTTTTGGAAAGGGGGGGGGGGGGGGGGCAAACTGGGAAATCCACCACGTTTAAAAAAAGTTAGGTTTACTGACTGAATAGTGTTTATCTGTGTTCTTAATTAGTGGGTCACATCACCAACGTCTTCCTTCCTTTATTTATTTTTTAAACTTCATATAATAAAATAGGAAACAAGTATGGGAAAACATCTAGATCTCACATTTAAAAACCCAGAAAATGAGCTGTAACTAAAGAAATCAGGATCACTGGAGCGCAACCTACAGAATAATGAAGAAATGTTCATTTAAATTAGAAACAACTTCAGGACCACGGACAGCGCAACTAGCCCAGCGTCTATAAAGGGTTTTAAAAAGTACCAGAACAACATGAGAACAGACCATAAACATCCGCTGTGATAAATAAAGCTGCAGGTGAGATGCTGATAAATTGTTTCTTACCATGGTTTGCAGATCTGAGCAGGTAGACTGAGAACAGCTGTAAACCCACGAGGAGAAGGACTGGAAACCAACTGGTTAGAGCCGCGCAAAGCAGCAAGTGTAAAGCTCTTCTAGCTCAGAGGGACAGGACTGGAGTTTGCGTCAGTGCAGAGCAAGGTGCCCTTCGCGTGACATTTTCTTGATAATAGGAGTTTGATAAATCATTGGCCTTGGATTCGGAATTTTAAGGGGGCTAGCGGAGTCAAGATGACGGGGGCGCGTCTGTGCGTGCGTGAGCCGTATAAGTCTCCTGATTACGCACGTTGCATGCGTGAGCGCTGGGTGAATATTTCCAAAACTGATTAATTCGCCAGTCCTGAGAGATGTGGATCTCTCTCTCTCTCTCTCTCTCTCTCTCTCTCTCTCTCTCTCTCTCTCTCTCTCTCTCTCTCTCTCTCTCTCTCTCTCTCTCTCTCTCTCTCTCTCTCTCACACACACACACACACACATACACACACACGCACGCACGCGCGCACACACACAGGGGATTTTGATTTTGATTGGAGAAGGTTTAATAACAAGAGTACACGTGTTTACACTGTGCCGAGGGTCCCTGGTGTACCTGTACCTCTAACAAAAAGAATACTTTTATGGATGAACTTACACAGTTTGGCCTGAGCTGTGTTCGGTTATTACAGACGAAACCAAGTATTTTATTATGTTTTATTAAATAACATATATAATGGGTTATTTTAATTGTAAAGGAAACTTAAGGGTTAAATACAACACACAGCTGGAGGGGATGAGCTAAAATGATACGAAGTTGCTATAAATAGTTGCTCTTTTCTTTTTTAACGCTCGGCGGGTTTTACGCACAGCGCGCTGCAGGCTGCGCGCGTCATCCAATAAAGGCATCGATCAACCCCTTACTTTTCCCTTTTTTAAAAATGGGTGTTGCAGAGTTACTCATTTGTTACAGTCTTACGCAAGAAGGAGTTTATAACGCAGTCATCTCACGTGGAGCTAAAATCACTGGAGCCTCCACTGGAAGCAAATGAACGGGAGATGAAGAGCCACATTACTTTCTAAAACACTGCATTGCGCATTACGCCAGCATCAGTGTACACGGATGACTGAAACGAAAGTGTGCTTCTGGTGTTTGCAGCTTACGTTAAAACAAAAACAGGAGCCTCGTTAGGCCTCAGTTTAAACCCTGCAGAGACAAAAAACACACACAGGCTAAACGGGAATTCTATTTCACACAAATATTTATTTAATAATGATACTTTTTCTTGAGTCATGTGATTAAGTATAACATCTATTTTTGCACAACCAGCTAATAACTTCAGGCGTGTGTGCTTTAGTGGTTTGCTACAAAACTGCAGCAACACCAAACAACCACTTTATAATAACGTTCAGTGGGAAATTGAATACAAACGTTAATATGGTTGTTTGTTCGAATCATAAACTGGAATTGAAACATTGAAAAAGAGGACAGAAACTGGACATTTACTATAATAAAAACCAAAGTTTGAAGGCTTTTTCCTGATTTATTTATTTGTACTTTTGAAAAAATAAAATTCTAATTCTACTCGAACGCGTTCAGCGGACCATTTTACAGTTATGGGACGCTCTGAGCTGAGGAGGTCCGAGGCAGCCTCCACCCTTTCCAGTCCCACTCGGGCCCCTTCACTTGTTATGCGCGCTGCGCTTCTAAACGCTTGTAAATCTCGTCCGTTCCAGATAAGAGGCAGAAGCGGGTGGATTAGCCGCCGCCCCGAGTTTAATTACATTGTCAACAGAGAATAATTGTAATTGATTTCTGCGCCTCTTCCAAAGAGCACTGAACACACCGCCGGGGCTCAAACCTAAACTCAGAACATGGGTAGCTGAACATCCTTAGGATTAAATCTGCTTGTTATTATATAATCATGGTGTTTAACTCGGACCCTTAGAGCAAACCGTGATTCTGGACTGGGTGCTTGGCGGCGGGGGGTGGATTCCGAGAATCTCGTTAATTACACAAGATGGGGCAATTAATTGATCACTCCCACTGTCGCCTGAGTGATAAGGAGCCGCATCCATCTGAGGCGCCTGGAAGGCAGCGATTCAGGGAGGAGGTCATCCAGAGGCGCGCAGCTCCATTATCATCATCAGCCCTGACAGAACCTTCACACCTCAGCCGCATTTCAAGTTTCAGAATCATTTCTGCTGCAGCAGAAAGCACTTCTGACCCCAAACGGTTTAAAAACAGCAAATCTTAGATTTATGGGCTAGCTTTTTTTTTACTCAAAGAAAGCCTTTCAAAAGGTGCAAAGTGTGGCTTAATGGGAAATTGTGTAAAAGTACAATTCAACAGTCTAGAAAAAGAAGGAAATTGATTAAATAAAATATAAATGGACAGGATCTTTTTGTAAAACTAGGCCATTATAATTTAAAGTGACATTTGTTTTCAAGCCTATTTTAAATGCAGTTCCAACTAATTCAAACAAGACTAATGCTCCGAGTTATTGAAACACCCAGAATGGAACATCAGTCAAAGTTACATAAAATCCTCAATTTTGGATAAATTATCAACACATAGGATCAAAAGATTGATTGTTGTTATGCCAGAATAGGCCTGCTCATGTGACAAACCCACTGGCAGATCATATTTTACAAAAACACTGACGAGCACACAGAAATAGCAGAAATACATCAGAATATGTGACTGTCACAATCACTAATAAGACGGCTAGCAGTACCAGAGTCCCCTCATCTTCTCTGATGAGTTCAGGATCCATCATCTCAGGGAGACAAGGGGGAAAAAGGTTTAATTGTAAGCAGAGCTGCTCAATGTAGTAAAGAGGCTTCAGTCACCCTTTTTAAAGCTAAAATACCCTTTTCTGCAAAATCCACAGAAGATGGATGATGCTGCAGGTGAAATCTTACGCAGCTCAAAGTAAGACAATAAGAGGGAGAAACACTTGGTAAAGGGATCATTTGTGAAAATCAGCCAGTTCCTAACTTTTTTGTTTTGCTGAAAAATAATTTCAGACAGATGAAAGTGAGTAAAGTTCAATGACAAGGGCTGGGTTAAGACACTTTCTGATATAGAAGCACACTCTTGTTCGGAAACTAGACGGATGCTTTGAGGTGAGAACCTGGTAGCTCAGCTGAAAACTGCATTGCTGCCATGACGACTAATGGGCGACCCCCGGATTAATGGTGATTCTTTTTTTAAAATGAGTAGTGAAGGGTTAATCGGTTTAAGAACAAAGATGAATAACGTCCAAATGTGCTTCATGTTTGTTTGCAGCAGGACAGTCACACTGACATTAAAAACAGAATATAATAATAATTATTATTATAATGTTGAGGTTCTATGGTTCATGACTTCCAACCTGGTCCTGCAAAAACAAATATCCAACAATACTTTTTATACCATTTCATTATTTAAACTTTCTAAGCAAAAACAGTAGAAACTTATTTGGAAGAACAAACTCGCCCCATCGTTCAGAAGCTTCTAAACACATGTAGGAAATGCTACATGAAATAATATTAAACTGCCATGTCATCGTAAATGAAGTTCTTACAGGTGAAACTGGAAAAAAAGAGAATATGGTGCAAAAAGTTTATGTCAGTAATTGAATTTAAAAGGTGAAACTAAAATATGAGACAAACTCAGTCAAATCCAGATATTTTAAGCCTTTATTTGTTACAACTGTGATGATTAAGGATTATGAAAACCCCACATTCAAAATCTCAGACAATTATAATATTGTGGACTCAAAGTGTCACACTGCCACGTTGAGCAGGGGTTAGGACCCAAAAATACAGAAACACTCGAGACAGGCGCAGATGAAATAAGCAAATCCTTTATTTCAAGGAGGAGACTTGATCCAGCGGTCAAAAAATACAAAAACTGAAGCTCAAAAACTGAGCATGGACACGAGCAAAACTCTGGAGAAGACAGAACAACGTAGACACAAAACAATGGACCAACAAACACTGAAGGACAGACAGGGTTTTAAACACAGAGGAGGTGATCAGGGGAACAGGTGACAGGTGTGAGGAGTGAAATCTGGAGGGAAGGCAGGTGCAAACAATAAATAAGGGGAAAGAACAAGCAGTAGGGCAAACAAACCTGAACCTATAAGACACGGATGAACTAAACCTAAAGACAGAGGGCAAGCATAAACAACTAATAAGTGGATGGATGAGGAGGACTAATATCAGGGAGTGCTTGGAGGACACCTGGAAGCCTAGAGAGAGGTCAGGAGGGGCTGGGGACCAGAGGGACACAGAACAAGACAGGAGCACAGGGACGCCGAATAGGAGACACATAAGGAGGACGCAGAACATGACACACACTCAGCTAATGAATCCTAAATACCTGGAAAGGGTTCCTGAGCCTTTAGATGGTTTCTCAGGCTAAATTGGATTACTGAAATACTTTTGCAACATATTCTCATTTTTCCCATTTCACCAGTATAAACACCAGATTTATCTGCTTCGAAGGCGTTGCACAGCCTGTTTGAGGTCCTACCACAGTATTCTAATCACATTTACCATGGAGACTTATTTTCCATGATTTGAGATTTTCATATGTTCTCATCTATTACCCATGACCAGCTCAGTGACCTAGTGGTATGATTGTCTGCCCTGTAAATGGGAGATGGGGTTCAAAACCTGGTTGGGTCATTCCAAACACTTAAAAAATGGAATCCAATGCCTTCCTGCCAGCTTTAAAAGGTTGGATTGGGGGTTAAACCACCAAATAGTTCCCGAACGCTGCCGCATCTGCAGCTCGTCACTCCCCCAGGGGATGGGTCAAATGCAGAGAACAAATGTCAAACACACCAGTGTGTGACAACTAGTGGGACTTTAACTTTGATCTCTTGTTCTACAAGTTTTGTGTTGTGCTCAAGTATAACTTTGCACATTTATTCTGAGCTGCCATGATCCAAACATGAGCAACCTTTTCCAAACAAGCCCCATGTGTTCAGCTTTCAACTCACAAACCATAATAGGTATTTTACTGTCATGACATAAACTTTGTTAAATCTCTGATTAATAAATACTTCAAAAAATCTGTTTATTCTTGCAGCTCTGTTGTCTTTTGCATTTTTTAAAGATATTTTAAAAATGTATTAATTCTATTTAATATTTTCTTGCATTGTGCAACAATGTCGTTTCCTTTGTGGAGATAAAGGAAATAAATAAAAAATCCAAATTTAATACAAAAATCATTTAAAAAGACAACATGCAGTCCATGGTTTCTATACGCTAAAAGAAACAGACACAACATGAAATGTCAAAGTTTGGAGTTTTATTGTGTTCTGCTGCTACAAGGTTAAAAAAACACTTCAATGGGTTACGTTACAGTGGACTTTATTGTAGGCTGTAGGTTTGCTTCCTGTCTGGAAGGCCTAAGGTCACAAACAGTGAGCGAGGATCCTTTTTGTTTTTACGCACGACGATCTTTCCTTGGAGCTCGTCTCCTGGAAAAAACAGAGAGAGAAGGATTGCAGGTGAAATTGAGATTCTTTTCTCTTGCATCGCATCACTGCACGATCCTGCTCTATGGTTGGAGGCTTTCTCACTGATCCAGCATTTAGTTAGAATTAAAATTTCGTGACACAGTCATCCATCCTGGATGTGAAGAACAGCTTCAGCAACACATAAAGGAGGATTCTGCTGGCCGCCTGTTCTCCTGAAACTGTAGAATTTACACACGTCTGTATGCTGCTGCTGGGCCTCCTGTGGTTTGTTTAGCCTGTCGGAGCACATTGGACTGTTGCAGAATGACACCTCGACATGGTACCTTTACTACAACTACAGTACACGTCATTGTGATGCTGTAAACTGACACGTGAAAAGCCAACACAGCTTCTAAATGACAAGAGAAATGGGCATCAAGAGAAGTCATAGTCGATGCATGTAGTGAGCACCTTGAAGAAAGCTGCTGTATGAGATGGAAAAGGTATGTGAACCTGTAGAAATGAGCAGAACCACTGGGAATTCTGGAAAACATCCCACAGGAGCAGTTGAAAGTTAGGAATCTTGAAACCCTTAAAATACTCTGGTGATGTGACCAAAGTTAAAAATAAAGTGATGATTTATAAAAAAAAATGGTTACCAAAAGCCCTTTAACTTGTATACTTTCTATCTGTGTGTAAACGTTCTGCTGAGAGAGCGGTGAAACAGAGTGCCAAACAATTGGCTGCTGCTGAAATGAAATCCTTATTTGAAAACTGCTCAATCAGGTTCTCTGATTTTATTTGTGGATCTGAAACGTTTTTTTGTGACAAAACAAAATCTGAAGAAATCAGCATCCCTCTACATGTTTTAGTGTAAAACATTAACATTTAAAACTTTAAATGTTACAGAAAAAATAACAGTAAGTATTATGAGAGGAAAAAACAAAGATGGAGAAAAGTTGGTCAGTATTTAAATGTTATTCACAAAGGAAAGCTCTTATTTTGTTCCTCCATTTGCTGTTTCATAGATTTCTGTTTCTGTAGTGTGTGTAAGCTCACACACGGCAGCATTTTCTCATTCTTGACAAATGATGTGGAAACAAATGGTTGCATTTATTTATAGAAAGACAAAAATGTGTTGACAGATTGTTTAAAAACATTAAGACAGATTTGGTTTCTGTTCGTTTAAAGTTCATACAACTGGAATAGTGACTCATTTGACTGTCAACCTCTACATCATTAAACATATTGCATCTATACATCAAACTAGAAAGAAAAAAAACAGAAAGCAATTGCACTGAGTCAGACATTGATCAGTATGTTGGCGATAAAATAAAAGTCTTCCTGATGCCCTGCAGCAGCACTGCTGAGCTCAGGCCTCTGCAGCCTGAATGCACCAGTGCTCATGGAAATGATGATGTGTGTAAAGGCAACATGGTTTAATGTATGTTAATAAGCAAAATTGTGTGTGTGTGTGTGTGTGTGTGTGTGTGTGTGTGTGTGTGTGTGTGTGTGTGTGTTAATGCAGATGCTTCAGTATCTCCAGATGGCAGAGAAAGAAGTGTGCCTACAGTACGACGCACGATTATGACACATAATCACTCTGATTAACTTCATGTTTGAATGCTGGAGGTGAATGAATGTTTACCGAAACAGCAAACAAGCGTCCTCTCACCCTCGCAGTCCCACCGCACCTCCTCACTGATCGCTGCTGGAGGTTAGGGAAGGACTAGGTAGAAACATGCTGACTGTGGCTATTTCTCTTGCAAAGCGTTCACCATAACTGCTGTCACTCGTTACCCTAGCAACGCTGCTGTCACTGAGGCTGCTACTGGCGCCATGCTCTGGGTCTGTGGCTTCACTGCATGACAGGCCAGCATGCAGCACTGATTCACTGTGGGTGTTTATCCCAAACCAGCCTGATAATTATCACAAACCAATGTAAAAATGAAAGATAGATGTGCATTTAGTTGAATAAACCAATATTCAAAACCCCCTAAAACCAGCATTTAAAAATATGTGCAACTCTAGACAACATTTTCAGAGTCATAACATCTGTAACTGGGATCTGTGGTAGGAAATTAAGACTACCAAACCGTAAGCTTGACAACTCACAGGATTCATTTATTGCATAAAAATAGTCATAATCAGCTCTAAGAAATTGGCGTGGCCTTCCAACCTGTTTCCAACCCACCACCTGAGTGTTTATGACTGGTTGGAGACACAACATTGCAAATTGCAAATTTTTTGATAACTATGTTAAAATTGCCAGAAGTTTTATGAATGATTAGTTCAGAAATATAACGTCATTGCAAAGTCATTCCACTATTGTGAAAAAATTCTTTTAAAAATATAGTCATAAGGTATCTTCACTCAATTCACTGGCAATGACGACTAAGGTCGTCATTTGCATATTTTTACTGTGTGAGCGTCGGAACGAGCCCCCGCACCATGAGAGCAAAACACCTCAGCTCTAAAGCCGGTTTTCATCCGCATCCGTCTCACGTCACGCAATCAGAAAGCAGAAAATCCATGTGTTAGGACACATGTGTCAGACACAAGGCCCCGCGGAGTATTTTTTGTAGCCCGCGAGACACATTTCAAAAATATATTAAAACTGACCCGCTGGCCGATTTTACAGCAAAGACTACAACTCCCATGATGCTTTGCGGCGTTTGCGCGTAAGCGCCCCCTCTTTTGTGTTTTTTCCTGCGTCTGCTGCCGGTGTCTGCAGCTCCGCTGTCTCGGACAAACTAAACACTCCTCTCACTCAGCGCAGAGTTCACTCAGCTTTTTGCCGACGTTGAAGCCCAGAAACAGAGATTTTAACCGCTCAGTAATGTGTTCACGACTGAAAGAGTTTTCCAACTAAATTCCAGACAGAGCTGATATAACTCCAGTGAGCAGCGACACGCTCAAATCAGCATGACTCTGTGGCTGCTGTAGTTTTCATTTTTCCTCCCCGACACGCAACAACGTGGTCAAGCTGCTCAGACATTTTCAGCAGCACAAACATATGTGAGCATCTGTTGTCATCTAATATTGTCATTATTATGATGAAGATGAACAAAACAACAGGAGTCTCCTCAGCTCTGGAACAGGTGAGCATCACAGTAAATCAGTGAAGCAAACTGAGCTTTAAATATTTTGGTTTTATGCTCTTTTTCTGCTCTAAAACATGAACGTTAACAGGTGAGATATTGCATTTTCATTTAAGATAAAATTATATTTTAATTTTGTTGTTGGCCCGTGAGAAAAAATTTAACCAACAGTAAATCAGGAACTGGAAAGGCTGCAGATAGATGAATCGAATAAAAAATCCATTTATTGTTCCTCAGTGGGGAGAGCTAGATGTCACAGCAGCGATGACGCTTATTACAGGAGAAAAAAAGGAGAATAATAAAAATAAGAAAAATGAATAAACAAGAAAACATAAATCCTGAATAGATTTTGTAACGTGATGAAGGTTCTCTGATGTGTGGCAAAGGTCACATTTTCCCAGCTGGGTCAAGCTGGGTCAAAAAGTACTTTTGAATCCACAGATTAACCCAAGGAGCCACGATGTCTGCTCAAGATCATAACACCATATCTGCTGTTCCGTCCCAGGACACTGCAAGTCACGATGATAATAATTAGATAATAATTAATAAACTCATTGATTTTATTACTGTTTAATATAATCATCATAAAATGATCACTTGGTTCAATATAAAGGTATTTTAATTACATGAAATGGATTATTATGCTTTGGGTATAATAATAATTATTATAATGATTATAAAGATGTGTTCAGCAAAGGTCAAGTTCACCTTATCCAGCTAACACAGAGTCCAGATAAACAATAACTGCAACACGTTTGTGACGCATAATCAAGGTTTCTTCCGGAGAGAGTGGGAGTGTCCTGAGACAAAACTGTAACCATCACAGATTCACATTCAGTTCTTGAACCAACGCCACGGAGGAAAAGGGAACGGCCGTCGCTGAACCCTCCACCTGCTGTTCTAGTCACGTCGACCAGAATAGCTAAAGAATAAACAAAACTGTAACCAGCTAACGAAGACTCTACCAGTCATTGATTTCTGAAGTTAAGACGAGAACGTCCATCTGCCAAACGCTTGACAACCGTGTACCTGGCTACAACTCTGGACCAGATGATCGGACACTCGAGTCTCCCCTGCCAGCCCCAAGTGTCATCTTGGATGAACCCATCCTTCCGATCTCCGGATCTACAAGAGGGTCAGCTGTTTGGGTGAGGTAGAACACGAGAATGCGTTTGATGCTGTTTCTCTCAAAATAACTCAGTTAGCCGCAAAACATCAATTCCATCCAGAACGCTTTTCATGCTCTCTGAAAGAAACCTTCTGGACTTCATTCACGCATCCAAACTCACCATTGTCATGGTCTGCGTCTTTCCCCATGTGTCTCCTGATGTTCTCCATCCCTCTCTAGATTCCCCTTTTATGTCTCATAGCGCCCTCATGTGTCCTTTGTCTGCGTCTCATTTATGTGTCTTCTGTTTGTAGCCCTTCAGGTCATCCCCAGCCCCTCCAGTTGTAGCTCCAGCCTCTTTGTCCCCAGCTCGGTGTGTGTGTCATTCCCCAGCTCAGTGTATGTGTGTGAGTGTAGGTGTGTGTTAGTGTGTGAGTTCTTCCCTCAGTCTTTAGATTTACTTTTGTGTTTTATATAGTTTTAGGTTTAGCTGCCCTCCACTGGTTCTCTTCCCCATTCAGATAAGTGAGTACGTTTACATGCAGCCAATATCCGGGTTATGATCGGGCTAAGGTCGGGATTCGGGTTTCTGAGTTGATCAGAATAACCCGTTTACAAGCATAAATAAAAAGAGTTACCTCTAACTTGCATAACCCGATTTAAATGCGGACGTTGGGGTAGCGTCAGGACGCATGGACTACGTCCAGATGCAATATGCGTCATTTCCGGTTCTTCTTGTTCTGGTATCCATGAAAACAACAACATGTTTCCCAGTTCGGAAGAGATAGCGACCGCGTTTGTTTGCGCTTTAG